CAACAATATATCATCCTTAAAGAGAAAATGCTGTTTACGTACATAACCAAATCACATCATAGAAAAGGCCAAACATGACAGTTGGAATGCTCTGATTGTATGTCTTGCCCAATCATTCTTAGTTTTATGATGTTAAGGTAATCAGTGTCTACAGGACCCAATTTTCATAAATAGCTAACAAATGACCTCAGGATGCTGTGTACTTCTATGACCTGACTTATTTTACTGTAATGACATTATTGTGCCTACACTTCTAATGGTAACAGACTTATTGGAACTGTCCTTGGAGCCTTTATAAAGGCAATACAGTTAGGACTTACATCCTGAAATCTACATACTTTGAATGTGCTTCATAATCTGCCCACTTACTGTCGCTTTGATTTGTACTCTCTTATCTTGTCCACGAAGAGTTTCTGTACCGGATCAAGTTCCTTATTAAACGCCACCGCTGTAACACCAATGTTCCTCCTCAAGTTCACAGAGACTGCCGACCGAAGGAGAGAGGACAGCCTGAAGATCCTCTGAAGAATCATGGTGAGTCTCTGGTACTAGACAAGCATCAGAAGATTATGTACTTTTCATAAAACACCTGAACTACATCACATGGTGAGACCTAATTGATGTGGGAGTGTCATATATCAATCTGTTGATTTCATTGGTTAAATTATAATAAACCAACTGCTTGGCCTCAGCTTAGAACATAGATGGGAGGAGTAAACAGAATAGAATTCTGGGCGGAAGAGGAAGTGAGGTCAGACTCTGCTCTGCTTCCGGAGAGAGACCCGACAGCTCTGCTGGAGCAGAGACGCCATGCTCAGCTCTCCCAGGCAGCTGCAACCCACGATGGACTTTCACAGTTATATGGAATGACTCTTCCGCTTTTTACTGAAAAGCTCAAGGACATAGGAACAGTTGAGAGGTCTACTAGGGTTAAAGCAGAAAGAAAACACAAAATCTGGGGTGGTGCTTTGTTGCCCATGATGGACCTGAGGAAACAGTGAGGTGAGGCTGTTCAAAAACACTGCTTGTCTCCAGGAGGAAAGGACGATGTGCTTATAATGTGCCTGTTTCCATGACCCCGCAAAGGGCAAAAAGGGAGCTGGACAAAGAGAGCAAAGACAGTTGTCTTAGCCAGGAATGAGAGGCTGAAAATTTCCACTTCACAGGCCCACAGGAAGGAAACAGTTTTGTCTGCTAACAGCAGGATCCTAGCCACTTAGCACTGTAACAACCAAATCAGCTTCCAAAAGAAACAGCAAAGAAAAATAGCATCCACGCCAAGTAAGTCCTGTAGTAACAGAGATTAGATGATACAAGTTCATCAGAGAGTTTGCAGGAGGTCAAAGTCAAAAGTTTAAAAATCAGAGCTTAAAACCTTTCAAGTCCTTAGACCTGCTAAAGCTAAAACAAATTAATTTTCTAGGTAAAACTGTTGCTAGATACATTAAAGGACAGGATAATTCTTAAGACCTGACTTAATAATCTAAAGATCAAATGTAAAAACATTCCAAATGACAACAAATACACTCAAGCAGTAAGCCCAAAAGGAAAAGACAGAGAGGATGAAACAGTAGAAGAAAAATTTCTCCTGATCTAGACTTAGCTTATAACAAACAATAGTGAAATGGCAATAGAAGGTATCCACACTTTAATGGACATCTTCATAACATCTCTTTACAATAAATGTGCCCTGGGAAATAAAACCAGCCCTCTGCCACTTCACATCTGTTTAACAATGATTGTGCCGTAGTCTGCTGTCATATAGTTAATGCCTCTCGAACTGTCAGTGATAAAGGGCCCTTCAAACCCCTGAGGAAAACCTGCTATGCCAACATCCTTCTCCTGCTCTCCCCTAGATCTATTTTTTTCTGAGCCTGCCTGATGAACTCCTACTGAACTGTGACAGGACCACTAGCAGTGGGCTACTGCTACTGGTTTACGTTAATGGAGCAGCTAGAACAAGGATTTAAAAATCTTTTCAGCAATTTGACTAATTTGACTCTTGAATTTAGTAATGACAACAATTCCAAAAGTGGTGGTAGAGAGACAGCATTTGATTCCCAGAACCTGTGAGTTTTGCTTTGTTTTGTTTGTTTTTAAAGTCAAGATTGGCAGTAAGCTTATAATGCCAGCACTGGGGAGGCAGAGGCGGGCAGATGTTTGGGGCTCAGTTGATAACCTAGTCTTCTAGGCTAGATCTTAGACTGACCCTGTCTCAAAAAAACACGACGCATAGTATACTGAAGAGTAACAGCTGAGGTTGGCCTCTGGCTGGTAGAGAAACACGTGCAGATGTGCCCACATATACCTAAATAAACACACGCAGATGCACAGACAGGCACACAGTCAGAGAGACAGACAGACCTGCATGGAGGGGTTGAAGTACCCCTTTATCGCTGAAAATTTGAAAAACATTAACTGTAAACCAGCAGCCTGGCACAGTGGTTACTAAGTGTAGGTGAAAGCAGCAATTTTTTTTCTCCCAGGGCATATTTGTTGTGTGAAGACAATTTTAGTTGTCCTGAATAGGGTGGATGCAAGTGGCCTCTAGTGGGTAGAGATCAGGAATAAGTCTATGCTCCCTACAACATGAAAAATAACCCTCCCCACGCTCCTCACTTCAAAGAGTTATCCAGTCCAAAGTGTCAATAATACCAACTTCAACAATGCCTGGAATAACATTTAGTACTCCTTAAAGAAATCAAATAAGCAGATAAGAGAAATATTATTCATTGGCCTGGATAAAAACATTTGAAGGAATTAAAGTCTTGATTACTGTGTCACTCATAATCTACCAGAGGATTATACAGGTGAAAGGACTACAAGCCAACAAATAACCAAAAAGACCTTATAGTAAGAAAATATCGCCCAACTCAATGTCTGTTCTTTTTTCTGGAAATTTAAGAAGACACAACATACATCAGTAAGGCAACAATATTTGTTTAGCCCTAGGAAATTTGGAAACTATATTGCTCAGTGAAGGAAAACACCCTTAAAGAGTTATTAGGGCAAGGTGTTCCTAGTCTTGCTTACAGATGATAAAAATTATGTCTACAGAAGGTTACTGTTTACCAAACATCCTACAGCCAACCTGCTCCCAAGCTGACTACAAACACTGTCACTTCTTCTACAAAATAGGCAAAATACAGCTTTCCTTCTCAATAATGAATCATCAAAGTACTGATTCTCAACACACACTCCTAACATACCTACTTCCTGAGCCCCAACCAAGAATGTATGTGTATATTCACCTCCTAAATCCTACACGATCATCCACAACACGAGCACATATTCTCTTACCAAAGCTACTCGGTGCTGCTTTTTTATTGCCTTCCACTGTTTCAGATTCAACAGTGTCTATGGACCGTTCACTAGTCCATAGAAGGCAAATGCCACCATAAGTGTAAAGCATCCTCTGTGACAAATTCTGTACTGATAAACTATCAGGAGCTAGCTGCCTGTTCGGGCTCTAATATTAAAATACTGGAGAAGGAATGGGGAAGAAAAAAAATCGAAAGACGTTCAAACCCAGAGGAGTAGCACTGGGAAGGAGCATGGCTCTTCTATTTATAGCGATGACCGACAAGTCCGGCAAAAGCTAGCCCGTTTCCTGCCTGTTAGTATCTACTCATGAAGTCAATCCACAAAGCTGTTTTAGCACCAACGTTTCTAGACCAGAGGCAAACTTCTGGGATGTGACTGGTGCCCTTTCTCGCCTTAAGGAACACGACCTGCTCGGGTCTAATTCACCAGCTTCTTCTGACCTTGGGTTGCCCCAGGCGGGCTGCAGACCCACCACCCCGCCTTTCTGCCTTTCGTGCTGGCCCGTTCTGCTCCCAAAAGGGTATTAACGGTCGTATTTATTGTGCCTAAGGCAAACTTGAATACCCTGCAGGGCCGAGGTCACCCTGTGACCTCAGGCCAGGCCGTGAAGGTGCCAAGGGCACAGGGCTACGCTCTCCCACTAGAGCAGAGGTGATGGGCAGCCCTGGACTCGTGAAGAAACCCAGAATCGCTGTCCCCAGAGGCCGCGCTAGCCTACTTTACCCTCCCAGTCACCTTGCACTCAGTCCCGAGCTGCCAGAGTCACCGCCGCCGCCACCGCTCTACTTCCGGCCCTGGCTCCGCCTACACACGACTAACCGCCATCGCAATGCATTGTGGGCCACCGCTTCAGTCGTTCGACGCTCACCGGACAGGAAGCGCCTCGGAGACAGTCCGCGACCGGACGCCTCTAGGTGAGACAAAAGGCAAACAGGAGGAGGAAGTGGAGGGTAAGTGCTTCCGGGTCCCCTAGCTAAGCCTCCGCCATCTTCCCTTCACTTAACTTCACCTCTCTTTCCCTCTTGGAAACAGTGCCCTTTACGCATGCGTACTTTGTTCTCTCTCCTAGTTCAAGCTCCCTTCGGAGTCAGCGTCTTGTTCCTTGGGGTTGGGGAGGCGGATGCAGTGTGGGGGTAAAGCGAGCGCGTCAAACCAAGCGGCTTGGGGCGTTTGTGCCTCGTGAGCCTCCGTTGCCACGGGCGTTCGTGTCGCGCACCCTGCTGGGAGTTGTAGTTCCAGGCCCAGGGGTGCCTGGGAGGCGGGAGAGGGGCTGAGGTTCCTTGGCGCCGATTCCGCGGGAAGGGCCCCGGGGCCTCACTCTGCGAGTCGCGGGCGCGGTGCGGCTTACCCGGAGAGGCGCTGCACGTGGAACCCGCGCCGCCGCCGTTCCCAGCCGGCTCTGGAGCGCGGCCGAGGGCCACGGGGCGGATTCCGGAGCTGGTGAGTGCGGCCGCGGGCTGGCGGGGGAGTGCGGGCCCGCGCGGCCGGCCTGGTTCCGGGGCTCTTCCCCCTCGCCGCGGCCCCCCCGCGGCCGCCTCTGTGTTTTGTTTCCGCTGGTCCCCGGCGTTGTGACTCCCATTTCCGTTCGTGGAGACTTGAGGGAGCCGGGTGGGGAGGGGCGGGAGAGGCTGTGCGGGGAGCCGAGGGGAGGGGCGCGGGGAGCGGCCAGGTCCGGGGCCGCGCGGCGGGACGCTGAGGACGCGCTCGTCGCCCGCCGCGATCCGGGCCCGGCGCCCTGACTCTCCACGTAGTCGCGGCCCTCTCGGGTCTCTGTCGCCCGACTCAGCGATTCCCGCACTCCACCCCTAGTTTTCCTTCTAGAACTGTCTGAAAGTCGCGCCAGTGCCACCGCACTGATGATCTTTATACTGACTTTCTGTTTTCGAAGAGATCGATGTTAATTAAGTAGCTTGCCAGCTCCCGTTTCCCCCGTTGCAGTAGTGCAGCGAACACGATGGAGTATAGGGATTCCACCCTGGGGTTAACAGCACAGAGAATGGTGCCAATACCTCGTTTCATGAGGACGAGTAGTCATTTGAAAATCCATAGGTAGGCCAGTGAGATGGCTCGATGGGTAAAACCAACTGCTGCCTGTGCTCAGCCCCTGAAACTGAAGTGCCAGGAGAGACCTGACAGCCACAAGCAGCCCTCTGACCTCCACACGTGCGCACACGCAGACACACGCATATCTCACTGTCTAGCCCTGGCTGACCGGAGACTTGCTATTTAGTCTAGGCCGGCCTAGAATGCGGAGGTCTGTGTGCCTCTCTGCTTTCTGAGCACCCGCATTAAAGGAGTGTACCATCACGCCTAGCAGTAAGTAAATGCAGGTTTTAAAAACCTATAGGGAGTTTGGACTAACATTAGGCCTGAGTGCTGGCAAGAGCAAAGGATTTGAACAGATTCACCGTCGTTCGGTTCTTAGGTACCACACAGTCTTTAACTCCACAAGATACTGGCCACCTCTTTAGCACCTTTTTTTTCTTATTTGCGTGCGTACCCAGATGGGCCTAAGTCCATTGTACCTGTACTACAAGTACAGAAGTGGATCTTGGGTGAAGTAGTGAATTAAGTCCTGAGATGTTAAGTTGGAAAAGTCAGGAGTGCAGACAGAAGCCAAGTACTGAATTAGCATGGTTCACCAGATACTTCTGGCAACTAAAAAACCTTGAATCTACAGGACTGGAAAGAAAAAGGGTGGTTTTGAAAATGCATGTGCTCTTCACCAGAAGGGAGATCTTCAGTCTTTAACTTCTAATCAGATTTGATATTTTTTGGGGGAGTGGGGAGTGGGGTTTCGAGACAGAGTTTCTCTGGGTCTTTGGAGCCAGTCCTGGAACTAGCTCTTGTAGACCAGGCTGGCCTCGAACTTGCAGAGATCCGCCTGCCTCTGCCTCCCAAGTGCTGGGATTAAAGACGTGAGCCACCACCGCCAGGCCATTAGCTAGACATTTGTAATCCATCTCCATGTTAAGCTTCAGGTTGGAAACCAAGTTGCTTTAATATAGTTGCTATAATTTTCATTTGCTTTTGTAGTGTCTTGAATTAACTTACTGACTTAGACTGGGCCAGCAAGTTCCAATAAATAATGAAATCGCCAAAGCAGGCTAATAAATGGCAATTTAAACAAAAGCCAGTTTATAAATGCTGTGTGCGAGCTTTCACGTATATAAAGAGCACGTCTGTTTTCTCCCTCTTTTATTCAGATTTGGTCTTTTTCTTGCAAAGCATTTTTGTTTATGCCAAAGATGTTTAAAAATCTCTTAAAATTTAACTCTTCCAGGACTGAACATTTGAAATATTTCAGCCATGACTAAGAGAGAAGCAGAAGAACTGATAGAAATTGAGATTGATGGAACTGAGAAACCTGAGTGCACAGAAGAAAGGTTGGCATTTCTGAACTGATTAGGTTTACTACTACTGGTATACGGGTTACCCTCAAGGAGCAGGCCAATATGTTTATTTTTGTTTTCCCTCTGACTTAATAGGTTTGTAGCTCAGGGAGAAAGGCATTTCTGAAATAGAAGCAGTAGTAAACTTAGTTGATAATTAATGATCACACAGTTATAAAAAAAAAAAAACCAGCCCCACCCCCATCTAAAAGGCATTTCCTTGATTTTTTTTTTTAATTCTTTCACTAAATGCTGGTCACTTTTATTTCAAAGACAGTTTAATTCAACCTGAATTTAACAATAGTTATTTATGAATAACTGCTGTATATTGGTAACTGTCAGGAATAAAATAAGTAAAATAAGATATTGAAATGACCTTATGAAAGTCTTATAATATTTGAGGAGACATACTGGTCCAGCACAGTAAACATGCCACTTCTTGGAATGACAGAGGAGGCTATGATGATTCAGAGTCAAGGGAGAGACTGATAGAGACAGACTGGAGTCCATAAGAAGGTTGTGGGAGGTGGTAGCTGAGGTGCTCTTTTACTCTAAAGCTGGAGACAAAACAGTGGAACTGAAAGGCTCTAGTGGACTTCTGTAGAGTAGCAAAAGGCCGGTGGGATGACTTAGATCTAGAGGGTGCTAAGCTGTGAAGATAGCTAAAATTTAAACATCAGTGCTGAAAAGAGCATTCCATTTATTTGTCCTTAATGCAGCAGAAGAACCGAATGAGTGATTCTCTTATTTTATTACTGATGAGTGTTTCAGAGAGTCAGGAACTAGGGATCAGCCTAGCTGGGTGGCTTTGACTCAAGTAGTTTAAGAGCGTGTAGTTAAGTTGTCAGTATGGTCTGCAGTCACCTGAGAGTGATCTGAAGCTATAGTATATGCCAAAAGATCACTCTTGCTATTTTGGGAAGGAAATGTCCGTGTGTCCAGTGAAGCTTTCTCTATGGCTTTTCAGCTAAGCTGAGGGGGACCAAGGTAGAAGCCATGGTGCCTTTTACATAACTCAGCCTAAGAAACCTTGCAGCGTTTGGTCACTCAGCTCAACCCTTGTTCAGGTTGGAAGGAGCTACAAAATTGGAGCCTAGCATGTCTTTTTCTATGCACTCAGACACCTCCAAATGCTTCATAGAGTCTGTAGTATTTATCACAGGCCCTTTGCATATGTCTGGGTGGGAGACTAGCTGTTACCATGTGGCTAACATGGAGGCCATTGCTGGAATTGAGAAACAGTAATGTATGATTAACCATATTCCTTCAAAAGAAACTGCATATTAAGATTTTTAGATTCCCAAGGTTTGTAACTTTACAACAGGAAACTTTGGAGAACTTAATACTCAGTATTCATAAAAGTGAAATTTTATAATCTGCTTTAAAGTAACATTTGGATCTTTTAAAAATCATTGTTACTAAAAAGGACAGGTTTCTGTGCTTAATAGCCAAAAAATATGCCCAAAGTGTTCTTTTAATCAACAGAACATTCATTACATTGACCAATAGTAATAATGTACTGTTACTTTGAAATAATATTGTTTTTAATCATGAATGGTTCTGTTTTGTAAATTTTAAATATTTTAAGGACAAATGTATATATTTATATGTATATCCTTATATTTGAAAAATAAGTAAAAATAAAATAATAAATTGTGTATGTATGTGTGTACACTCACACATTTATGCATGTTTGTGTTTTGAATGTGGATGCCTGCATGCCACAGCACACATGTGGAAGTCAGAGGTCAGCCTCAGATGTGGGTCCTCGGTATCCAGCTTGTTTAAACAGAGCTCTTGTGTTTACTGCTGCCTAGTCTCACCCAACTGGCCTAAGACTTTCCTTCCTTGTCTCCCATCTTACTGTAGGAGCACAGCTGAGATGTGGGCTACCATGCCTGGCTTTACATGGGTTCAGAGGATGCAAATGCTGATCCTTGACCTGTACAGCAAGTGCTAGCCTATTGAGTCATCCCTAGCCATTCACCTGTGCTGCATTTTAATAAAAATTTTTACCTTTTTATTTTTATTATTTTATTTTATTTTATTTTTTTTGATTTTTCGAGAAAGGATTTCTCTGTAGCTTTAGAGCCTGTCCTGGAACTCACTCTGTAGACCAGGCTGGCCTTGAACTCATAGAGATAGACCTGTCTCTGCCTCCTGAGTGCTCGGATTTAAGGTGTATGTCACCACCACCTGGCTTTATTTTTAATTAGGTGTGTTTTAGTTATGTGTCTTAGTATATGTAGGTGAATTCAGGTACCAGCAGAGGCAAAAGCATCAGCTCACCATGCAACTAGCCAACGTTGAGGTGAGAGGCACCTGACATGGGTGCTCAGAACCAGCTCATGTCCAGCTGCCGCTTCATACTTACTTTTGATACATATTTTATTAACTGTAAAGAGATTTTTATTTAAATTATATTTAAAGTAAATATGTTGTGAAATTTAATTCAGTAAATACTACTTTCTCAGTCTTCTCTTTTCCCTCTAAGCATTTACAAGAGATGTGTGCAACTGCTTGTCAAGGCTTTAAACCTATTTGGATTGTGAAGTAACAGGGCAAAAGAGCTAAGTAAGGTTTAAGGAGCAATAATTTCCCAAGACCATCTGGGCAGTGGTGCTGCAAGCCTTTAAGCACTCAGGAGGTAGAGAGGCAGGTAGGTCTCCATGAATTCTAGGCCAGCTTGGTCTGTATAGTGAGTTCAGGACGGCTAGGGCTATGAAGAGAAACTGTGTCTCAAAAACCCAATAACTGGTATTCACATCAAATTGGAAGTATTTATATTGTCAGACCTTAGCAATTTATATTTACTAGATTATATCAGGAAGGAAATTGATTAGTAGAAATGATATACAAAGTTTTGATTTTATTGTTGTTTCATTTTGTTTTGGGTTTTGACATAGGGTCTCATATAGCCCAGGCTGGTTTATATTTCTCTGTAGAACTAAGGCTGGAGAATGGCCTTGAACTGATTCTCTTCCCTCTGTGATCCTAAATGCTATGATTACAGGCTTGTGCCACCTTCCCAATAAGCTTTACAGATTTTAAGGGTATAGTGTATTGCCATGTTTTTAGGCCTAAAATCTTGAAAATAACTTGAGATGTAATATAAAGGTGCACACTTCTGTATAGAGAGTATACACCTAATACTTATGTGCTGGCATATATTTGTATGCATGACTAAGTATGTTTTCAGGAGTGCTTTAAGTTTCAAATTAGCTATGAGATTGGTGTTCACATCAACAACATTAGTCTTAACAGCATCAAAGAAGAAACTAGTACAGAACATAGACAAGAATTTCAAAGACTGTGTGTTTTGGTATTAATTTTGTTTTGAGCATAGTGTTACCTTTACATCAGGATAATGTAATTATTAACCTTCATCTCCATTAATAATTAGCATTGTGGAACAGACCTATACACCAGCTGAATGTATAAGCCAGGCCATAGACATCAATGAACCAATAGGCAATTTAAAGAAACTACTAGAACCAAGACTGCAGTGTTCTTTAGATGCTCATGAAATTTGCCTGCAAGATATTCAGGTAAGGTTCATCTCTATGGATATTGATAAGTAGACTAAATCTATGATTTTATATTTTTGACCATTTAGAAATGAAAATTCTTTTATAAAATTACCTGTATCTGAAATTTAAAGGGTTGAGTAATAAAATTGAATAATAAGTCACTTGTTACTTTTTACTTTCATAAATCTGAAATAAAATCAATATAAAAATGGAGTAATGGGAAGCACTGCAGTCTGTGCTGGCTGACTTGACTTCTATAGGAGGAGGTCCATTGACTAAACTGTATTGCCTGTAGTAGGAAGGCCGCTTGTTTGTTTCCCGACTACTCAGCCCCAAAATAATCACACAGAAACCATATTATTTGCAATACTGTTTGGCCAGTAACTTAGCGTGTCTCGGACTAGCTCATATCTTAAATTAACCTATCTCCATTAATCTGTGTATCTCTACAAGGCTGTGGTTTACGGGATAAAGTTCCAGCATCTGTCTCCGGCAGGGCTACATGGCTTCTTTTGACTCTGCCTTCTTTTTCCCAGCATTCAGTTTAGTTTTCCCCACCTAGCTCTGTTCTACCCTATCAACAGGCCAAGCCAGTTCCTTTAGTAGCCAATGGTATTCACAACATACAGAGGGGAATCCCACATCAACTGCGTTTGCATTGGTTCTGGTATTAAGTTTGAAATGTTTCCCTTGTAGAATTATAGTATGTTTCAGTCATTCTCACAGACTTGTTTCACCTTTTCCCAGGTGATACTTCTTTGATGTATAAGAAGTAGTAACCTGAGTAAGATTGTGGAAATAGTTTTTCAAGACTTTTCTTAAACTTACTCCTAGCATCTGTTCACTTTTCTCACATTAACATGAATGTATATTTTGTCATTCTTTGGAATTGCTTGCTTCACTTTAATCTTTGCTGTTTGTAATCATCACGCCTGTCTTGAAATACCATTTTTCCATATATCACAGAACTTTGACTTAATATTTTAAAAATTCAGGTCCTCTTCAATTACTATTAAACAAGGTTCTGTTATAAAGTAAATTGAAATGTGTTAATAGAATTTATGCATTAGTTGCTATTAGTGATATTTTAACCTTTTTCTTTTAATGTGTGTATGGTAAATGTTAATGGTAATTAGATATTGCTCTTCTAAAATTAGGGACAATGGTTGTATGCACTTAAAAGAACATGTTAAATTTTCTTCTTAGTAATGAGAAGATAAATGAATATGGTATTTTGAAAGCAATTGACATTTAGTATCTTATTAGAAGTATGAAATGCCCAACAGTTTTACTTCAAGGAATTGTTCCTACATAATGCTCACCTGCATGAGTGTATGTTTATAAGTATCATAAAAGTAAATGTTTAAAATAGAGTTTTCAATACATAAATTCAGAATTCAAAGTAGTCACTAAAAGTCTGAGCAAGAGCTATATTGAGTTAAACACTTGCAAAACACTTCCAAATGATCCCAACTATCATTAAAAATCACCATTTTATTAGTTATATCTGCAATGATAGATAGAATACTTGGCCTCATAATGAAATATGGCCTACAAAGTACCTATTTTATCATAGTTTCCCAGTAAGCATTTTCTGGATAAATGGATGTGTGAATCATATCATTAACTTGAGCTACTTGGGTCTGTAGGCTTTTCACACCCTCCTAACGTGTTTCTTCAGCTGAACAAAGAATGTGAGCCTGGCAGCTTCTGTTCCCCTTCAGTGCAAACATGCATTTGGCATTAGTACCTGCTACTTCTGGGAAAGCCTTGGCATCGTCAGATAAATGCTAACTTAAAAGTTACAGGAGCAATCAATGAGATGTACTTCTGTGAGGAATATGTTACACAAGCAACCATGCTGGAGCTGTGTCCCTGTTTGTCCTTCTCTTAGTGTGCTGCCATATTCAGGAACTGAGACATAGACCACAGCTTCTAGGGGATAATGCTAGTGTCCCTAGACCTGGAGGAAAATCTTGATGTCCAGACAAGACTTCAGTGTTTAGCAAAGATTTACATTAAGGAATAGAAACTGCCATATGTAGCCAATCCAATGTGTTATATGTTTGTTTTGTTCCTGTTAAAATTGGATATAAAGTCCACTTAATACTGTAGGTTTTATGTATAAGATATTGTAAATAATGGAAATTGTGATTGTAACATGACTGAATTCTTGATATTAAGAGTGAAAGGAAGCCAGGCGATGGTGGCGCACGCCTTTAATCCCAGCACTCGGGAGGCAGAGGCAGGCGGATCTCTGTGAGTTCGAGACCAGCCTGGTCTACAGAGCTAGTGCCAGGACAGGCTCCAAAGCCACAGAGAAACCCTGTCTCGAAAAAAAAAAAAAAGAGTGAAAGGACAATTTGTGTGTTCAGCAATGTATGTGCAGACACATCTAGACACATAAGGTACTTATGATGGAAGTCTGTTCTAAGATAGTGATACAATATCAGAGGTCAAGATTATTTTTATTTTCTTAATAAGCCATGGTAGGAAATGCATTCATTAGAAGGAGATATACAGGGAAAATAGTGCCAGTGTTCCAAGGATAAGGAATTATGACCAAAGTAGATCCAGTATTCGGTCGTGAGTCCTTTAATTTTATTAACTTTGTGGTCAGAGACTTCAGAGTGAATCCTAAGATTTAATATGTGGCATTGGTTACAAGGTCGATACGGCATGAATATGTTAGTAAACGTAGATAAGTTGTCAGCCACTAATTAACATCCTTCCTTTTCTGATAAACATTGCGTTATCTTGTACTTTAAATGTAATTGCAGAATGAATTCCCCTTGGATGTTATTTAAGATCCCAGCTGAGATTGCAGCTCCCCTAGAAAAACTGCCACTTAAAATAATTTTGCAGCAGTAGGGAATGGCTGCAGAATGTCTGCTTGGCACATGAGGCCCTCCCTGACTGTAGTTAGTCCTCAGCCCCACCAGAATAGAAAAATTAATTTGGTGGGTTTTTGCTGGCTTCCACTTCTTCAGAGGTGAAAATATTTTTAGTTTTAGCAAATAAATGGTATGACATCTTTGATAATTAAATGCATTCTTATAATTTGATTAGTATGCTCAGAAATTATTCTGTTTGGTACACTGCTTTATACTAACCATAGATAGTAACTTGTCTGATGATTAAACTAAAATACTCTGCTTACTCTCTTACACATGTTTAGCTGGATCCAGAGCGAAGTTTATTTGACCAAGGCGTCAAAACAGATGGAACTGTACAGCTTAGTGTACAGGTAATTTCTTACCAAGGTGAGTTACTTTATTGGCAGGTGTTTACAAATTGAGCTCTTGTTTCTCTGATGGCTTAATAAAAGATCGGTCTGCCTCCCCAGTGCTGGGCTTAAAGGCATGTGCCACCCACCTCCTGACTTCTAACATTTTTACTCCTTGAGAATTTCATTTTATTTTTATCATATTCACCCCACTCCTGCCCTTAACATTTCATTTTATTTTTAATAAGTACTATTTATCTCATGTACAGTTAGTTGTATACCATTGTTCTTAGGGTATAATTTCTAAACATAATTCTGAAATAGCTTTAAGTTTTTGCCTGACTAAATCTCCACTGGAGGAGTCTCCATAGTGATAATCACTTCAACTTTGTTTCTGTCCTTTCCACAGGAACTACAGTTCTTAATAATAATAGGGTTTGAATATCTTTAGGATTTGGGTTAATTGATGTGAATTTAATTGAGCAAAGTCAGCAGGATGTTTAGGATGGAAGACAAGGGCTGAGGAGATGGCTCAGTCTGTACAGTGCTTGTGAGTGAGCATGAAGAACTGAGTCAAGATCCCAGCGCTGTGTAAAAGTGGACACAGTAGTTCTTACCTGTGATGGCAGTGTTGGGGAACAGAAAAAGGAAACCCTTTGTGGCTGGCTGACTTTCCAGTCAAAATGAATTGGTGAGGGTCAGGCTCACTGAAATATCCTGACTGAAAAAATAAGGTGGAGAAAGATAGAAGACGCCCCACATCAACTCTGCCTTTCATGTGCATACACATACCTCTACTTACACACCTGTACACACACACACACACACACACACACACACACACACACACACAACCCTACGAGCAGTAAAGTCAAAAGAAGGCGGATGACCAAGCACAGTCAGTTTGTCGTCCAGACACTTGGAAGGCAGAAGCAGGGAATAGGAATTTGAACTGCTCCTAAACTTTGTAGTGAGTTTGTTGCTAGGCTGGGCTTCATGAGGTCCTGTTTGTTTGAGAAAGAGGACAGTCTGATTTTTAGCTCTCTTAGAAAGTTTGTAAAATCTTGAAGAATATGTAGCTCCTCCTTTGCACTCTCTAGTTTCTTTTTTTTTTTATTCTTGTCAGTACCTTCGTCTTTTTTCTTTATTACTCATGTAAGAAGTGGCACCATGTGGTGTATGTTGGTAACATTTAAAAGTGTGTGTGCTTAGGTGTGAATTATTGCTAAGCCTTAGAATACTAGATGTTAAATTTTAATACATTTGCTCTTTTTTTTTCTTCAAGCACACTTTTTTATTTTTCAACATTTCAGGATAAATTTTGGACATGATTATTTTCGATCTTTAAATATATTATCAGCTTCTGATCCTAGACTGGGGATACAACTGTGTCAGAGTACTTCCCTCTTACGTGTGAGACCCTGTGTTTGATCCCCAGCATGGCAGTAAAACAGTGCTCGAGCATTCTTCTGTGCAATCACATTATAATTACTAAAATGGTACTGTTTCTGTTGAGTTGTATTTAAAAATAAGATCTTTTCAGTTTCTCATTATTTTAGGAACATCATTTTTACTCTTAATTTGGAAAAATAAACTTTACTTTTAGCTCTTTGTGTCTTATGGTTTTATTTAAATTTGTATTTTTTTTTTCTATTCACTGTTAGGAATTGAGCCAAAGCTAAACATTCTTGAAATTGTTAAAACTGCGGAAACGGTTGAAGTGGTCATTGATCCAGATGCCCACCATGCAGAAGCAGAGGCACATCTCGTTGAAGAAGCTCAAGTGATAACTCTAGATGGCACCAAGCATATCACAACTATTTCTGATGAAACCTCAGAGCAAGTGACAAGATGGGCTGCTGCACTGGAAGGCTACAGGAAAGAGCAGGAACGCCTCGGGATCCCCTATGGTAAAGAGACAACTGTTGGTTGGGTGCGGTAACAGTTCAGTTAGATGTAGAAAATGCCACTCGGGTAAGATAGAATATTCTGTAATGTAGATATTTTAGAAAGATTATTGATTTTTATGTATCTTATTTAGTTTTGAACTGTAACATACTGAACACATGGTGGACAAATGCTATGCTGATTGCATGAAATACAAAGAATAATTAGAAGAAATTCTGCCTATAGCATGTTCACAGTGTAGTGAGAAGATAAATAAAAAAGGTGACTGCCATAGGAAGTTTAACCTGTCAGTGACTAATAGAAACACAGCGTGTGTTTAGAGCCTCAAAGGGATAACCTAGCCATTTGGAGGAATGACAAATGGAGTTGAAGCAGTTCACGGATTCAGGGCGAGCTTACGTAGCATGCCCTTTCTCAGAACGCAAACAAGAGTGTCACAGGGATCAGAGTACTCTGAAGAAAATGGGAGGGAGTGTATTCTGAGAAATTATACAAACGGGAAACATTCAAAACAAAGCTTAGACCTGGATGAACGAAGGGTACTTAGAACATATCGTATCAAGAGTTATTTCTGACATCATAGAACTGGTTTTGCTCAGTGAAAGGGAAAACTAAAAAAACAAATATTGCCCAAATGTCCCATAAGGCACATTGTGACTGAGAGAAAACAAGAACATATTTTTGTCATTTGTACAGTAGTAATGTGGTTCAGATTAGCATAGACTATGTGGTTTCTTTTGTAGCAAAAAGGAAGAGATGGGTGAAAACAGTGATAAGGTTGGCAGAGTGTAAACATGGAGAGAGGATATTCAAGCACTGACCTAACTTTGAGAGCTTGAATGACTAGGGCGATAGTTTTTATACAAATTGGTTACATCTTCATTACAATGGAATGATACTGTTTACCAGACACTGTGGTAAATTCTGGGCTAATGATGATATGTAAGAACAGAGCATGCCTTTGACACCCCAAACCCTGTATAGGACTGGCCTCAGTGCCTTATTCTAGCTAGGCAAGCACTTGACATTTAAACTACATTCCTAACAGCTAGGCATACTTTGAACGTCTTTTGGAGGAAGTAGAGATGTCTAATACAATGATGTCTTGGGTGGGGGGGTGTTGATAGCACTTGATTTTGAAGTAAAGTATGTAATCGGTTTAGTGTAGCCTTAACATAGTTTTAAGAGCACAAACTCTCGGGATCGGTTTGTTTTTAAAAACATAAAGATGAAAGTCTTTTGAGAGAAACAGTATGGACAAGAACACATTATAACCTGTAGGGCAGGGGAAGGAGAAGGGAAACAAGAAAACATTAATGATGCCAGGTACAACAGCACACATCTTTAATCTTAGCACTCCAGTGGCAGAGGCAGGCAGATCTCTTTAAGTTCTGGGCCAGCCAGGCCTGCCTAGCAAGATCCTGTCTCCAAAATAAACCCTTATCAATGGTACAGCCGAAGTCTGGGAAATAACTGTATAATATCACTGCTATTTAGGGAGACTTATTAGGTGTTAAGACCCTTGAGATTCTTTTGAGAAAGTCAAAACTATGGAGTAGCATCAGTTTGATAATCATAGAATTATTGTTCAGATGGGTTTAAGTTAGATAGGCAACAACTGAGAAATAGAGAACATTGATTAGAATTTTTTTGAGGCAATATAGAAGAAAAAAATTGGGGAAGCAAATTATACAGTTAGTACAATGGGAAAGTTGGTAGTGTGCCCTTATCACTGTTCCCTCATAGAACAACTTAACAGTATTCACATTGCATTAGGTATTTTATTTAGAAATGATTGAAGTTAGTTACATGTGTTCCTATACATCCTTTATAAGTAAATGCTGCACTCTTTTGTAGGGGACTTAGAGTCTGGGGAATTTGGTATCTCTGAGGAGTGGGGGCAGTTCTTACTGTGACATGTAGAAATTTACTTTTGGCATGTGGAAGCTAGTGTGGAATTTTTTTTTTTTTTTTGACCTTTTTGATAGCAAGTTAGGAATCACCTGAGAGGAAATGCTGAGAAGGGAAGAATGGGACATGAAAACTCTGAATAGTGTTTTTCTGCGGCATTTGCTGTATTTTCCACAAGACATCTTCAGTTACAGGAAGTAATACATGAAGATGACCGTAGGTAGCATAATGATTGATTCTCTGTGGCGCAAGTCCTACCAAGAATATCATTTACTTAAAAGTACATTTAAAATACTTGAGATCATCTTCTGATTAGATTCTTCGTCATGAAATTTTTATCTACTAGGCAACTGTCTTAGGGTTTCTTTTGCTGTGAAGGGACACCCGACCACGGCAACTCCTACAAAGGAAAACACTTAATTGAGGTGGCAGATTACAGTTCAGAGGTTCAGTCCATGGCAACCCAGGCTTCAACTTCACAGCTTCACATACTGGCTTCTCTATTCCATTCAGGGATACAGCTGACACACACATTCAGTTACATTCAAAATACCACAGCAATCTTACAGATGAGTAGCGTTTTCTCAGAAAACTATCATTTCAAACTTCTCTTTCTTTATCTACATGCAGTTCCCTGACAAATTTATTAATTCTAATCATCACTGGGATATAATTAACTATTTAAAGCTATTTTAAATCTCTTTGAATTACTTACCCACATTGGGAAATCCCTTAAAGTTCACATTAATATAAAGCAGTTTTCTATCTTGACAGCAACTTAGACACTTCTTCATTCAGGTGGTTGTATATGTGAATATTTCTTAGAATTGCCCATTAAACTAATCTGAAGATGAAGTTAATAATTGTGTACAAGTTAGAAATCTGTCAAAGAGATGGGCTATACAAAATGTTAAAACAATAAAAAACAAATTCAGTCAAATATGTATTTTTCCTTTATGAAATATGGATATTGAAATGATAGCTAGGTTTGTATTCTTTTTTTAAAGTAATTTTTAAAAAGTCATGTTTTTGCCCGATACTAACATTCAAGAACATATATGTAAATTCTTGAATATAAATAATATTCACACAAGAAAAGTATTAAAGATTGTGTCTTAACTGGCTGGCTGTCCAGTTCCATAGCTCTATCTTCTTCACATTGGTAAACTCCTTTGTTTAACTTCTCTCACAGGTCTGATAGATAGAAAGAAAAGCTTCTCAGAAGCCAGTTCTGTTCAGCCTTCCTGTCAGCAATCCTGCTTTGTACTTTACTGTTTTTCTTCATCACTAATGCACCTTGTAGTGAATGAGAATTATCTGGCTTCTGTGTACAGCAGAGTTTGCTCTCTTTCATTTTGGTGACTTGGCTGGTGTGTGGTGTGTATATGGTTTGCTTTATTGTGTTCTTTGAGATAAAGTCTTCCTACGTCGCCCATATGCACTTTAGCTTGTGGTCATCCAGCCTAAGACTATCCATTTACTGGAATTTCAGGCACTTGGCTTCACTTTCTGTTTTTACAAACTGCTTTGTAACTTTCGTCTAAGTTAGTCTAGGTATCTAGACTAACAAGGTTGTAGAACCTTGTTAGACAGCTTTTAGGGTTCCTAAGTTCAGGATTGATTGATTGTTTATAAGACAGTCTCACTGTAGCCCAGGCTATCCTAGAATTCACCATCTAGCCCAGCTTGTCCTTGTCCTTGAAGTGGCCTTCCTGCTCAGCCTCTTAAGTCTGTAGTTACATAAGCTTGTGTACAGATCAAGACAGTCTTTCTCCTGCTTTAATTAGCCATTAGTTCTCGTTCTCATGTCTGTCTGGAAGCAGTCTCCATATCTTCAGAGCTGTTGTCTTAGCCTTTTTCCAGTGTAGTGCAGAGTCCTCCACTTCCTGTTTTTGTAGCTTCAGCCTATTTTACTCCCATCTTTTATTCTGTTTATAGGTTCTCTAGAAAGGGTTTCTTAAGATTTTTGGCGGTGGTAGCACACACCTTTAATCCCAGCACTTGGGAGGCAGAGGCAGGTGGATCTCTGTGAGTTCAAGACCAGCCTGGTCTACAAGAGCTGGTTCCAGGATAGGCTCCAAAACCACAGAGAAACCCTGTCTTGAAAAAAAAAAAAAAAAAAAAGATTTTTGGCTTTACACTTTCAAACAATTCTTATTTTACTCAGATCTACTTATGGTAGTGTATAGTACATTAATGTTGACAATTTCACTTTTGTATTTGATGACCCCATTCCGTCATTGTTGCCATATAAAGCATTTAGAGGCCCCTTAATTCAAGTTCTTGATTATTGTATCTTTTTTTTTGGTATTGTATCTTTTTTTTAATTTATTTATTTATTAAAGATTTCTGTCTCTTCCCCGCCACCACCTCCCATTTCCCCCCCCCCATCCTCCAATCAAGTCCCCCTCCCTCGTCTGCCCAAAGAGCAATCAGGGTTCCCTGCCCTGTGGGAAGTCCAAGGACCACCCATCTCCATCCAGGTCTAGTAAGGTGAGCATCCAAACTGCCTGGGCTCCCACAAAGCCAGTACATGCAGTAGGATCTAAAGCCCATTGCCATTGTTCTTGAGTTCTCAGTAGTCCTCATTGTCCGCTATGTTCAGCGAGTCCGGTTTTATCCCAGGTTTTTTCAGACACAGGCCAGCTGGCCTTGGTGAGTTCCCGATAGAACATCCCCATTGTCATAGGATAAGGAAACAGAGGGAAATCAGAGAAGCATCACCTTTCATGATAGCCACAAATAGCATAAAATATCTTGGAGTAACTCTGACCAAGGAAGTGAAAGATCTATTTGACAAGAACTTTAAGTCTTTGAAGAAAGAAATTGAAAAGGACACCAGGTTTATAGGTCTGCACTACCACGCTCATTGTCTATTTTGTTCTTTTTTTTTTTCTTTTATTTCTTCCTTCCTAATCTCCTTTCACCTGGGCCTTCTCTGTGCATTTCCTTGTTGTCTGGCCCTGTGCTTCTCACTTTTGTTCTCATTCCCTCTCTGGACCCTGCATTCAGCTGGTGCTGCATTCGGAAAACTATTCCTTAGCCTTTGTTTTTGTTTTTTATTTTTTGGCCTACTGTGCTTCCAGTGACTGCTTCTTGTTTGAATTCAGACTTCCTGTGCTCAGAATGAGTCATACCATTTTGCTTCCCTCTGCATTCTTTTCCATGATTTTTTTCTGCTTTCTTCTGCATTTTTTTTTAACCTGAGATGAGAGCTGACTGTTGGCTCAGCTGCCCTCAAGTTTCCGTAACAGTTGGGTTTACAAGAGTGTTCCACCACACCAGTATCTTATAAAAATGGATTTGTCTTCATCCGTGTATATTATGGACTTTGTGGTAGATATTTTGTCTCCTGGGTATTGCTGTTTGGTTTTTGTGAGGATTTACTTATAGGCTTCTGGTTTTACCCTGAGTTGCTTTCTGTGTCTCTTTGTATATTCGGAGAAATCAAACTTTATTCCCATCTTTCTATACTTCTCTTCTTGCTTTCAATCCTGTGTTTATATTTACTATAGATTGTTCCTTGAAAAAAATCTGATTATTACTTCACATATTTTCTTACTGAATAACTTTCATTGGGCGATCACTATTATTTGAGTAGATAGTCATCTTCGAACATGAATGCCAGTGCCAAAATCAATTCAGCATCAAGTTCCCACAGATAACATTTTCTTTTAGGTGCCAGAGATATAGTGACATAGTCTTTGCATGTACTGGCAATCTTTTTCTTCTGTTTGTAAATTCAATTAGCTTATAAATACAAAAGTAGCAGAAAAGATGAAATAATTTGGGTATTCTTTGTGTAAAGTCAACAAATATCTATTCAAGGCACTTTATAGACAGTGAAGTCAGATTTACCAGACACAGTCTTTGGAATTACAGCCTTGTTGCCAATGGGGAAGCAACTGAGTGAACAGGTAGAATATCATATAAGTGCCACCAAGGTAGCTAATCTTTTATTGGAAGGGCTGGAGAAAGGGTGCATTGTGCGCAATTTGAAGAGTGACGACAGCTCCTTAGGATCCCATTTAATTTTTTTTAAGACACCAAACTATATAGTGCTACAAAATAATATTTTGAGCTTGGTCAGTATTCTCCATTATCTCCAAGATAATATACTTCAGTTGTCATCTGGCCCACCAGAGAACAATTTTATAGTTTGGTTTTTGTGATAAAATTCCAGACTAACTGATACAGAACCAAGTGACTCCTTTGGAACCAGATTGAGAACTTGGGAAAAAGTTAAGGAGAAAATGCAGCATCAGCATAAAAGTTGTTCTTCATAGAATCAGTTTGCTTCACTTGGGAAAAACATCTGTCTGGATTTCATATGTGTATATATGTGTATTGAGAAATGAACTGTAAATTTATCTAAGATGGAACTAGGCTAAAGGTAATATTTTTCTTTCTAGATCCTATACAGTGGTCCACAGACCAAGTCCTGCATTGGGTAGTTTGGGTAATGAAGGAGTTCAGCATGACTGATATAGACCTCACCACACTCAACATTTCGGGAAGAGAATTATGTAGTCTCAACCAAGAAGATTTTTTTCAGCGGGTCCCTCGGGGAGAAATTCTCTGGAGTCATCTGGAGCTTCTTCGAAAATGTATAAAATTAGACTTATTATCTATTTGCATTGTAACTAAAGCTTAATTTTATTTTTTTGTAACTATGTTTTTACTTTATTAATTGTTAATAAGCAAACATGTGCTATAGTAATTGACATTTATTGTTGCAAGTAGTGTGAAGAGTTTCTTTATCTCAATTCCTATAGTAACGCCATAAAGTATTACTTTCCTGATTTTTTTAGTTTTTCTGTGTGAGACTGAGGCTGTAAGATCCCTACAGAGTGTTGAACCCCTAGGGATTGTCCAAACTAAGACTCTAACTCAGGCTTATACCTTATTCCAAGGTCTCTCTTTTTGTTTTTCTTTTTGAGACAGGTGTTACTGTGTGCTAACCTTAATTATTAGGCTAGCCCTAATGCAGGAACCTCTTGTTGCAGTTTCCCACGGAGGTTATGATTAAGGGACTATGAGGAAAGCTTGGAAACTGCCTGGCTGACTAGAGTTCAAATAAATGTGAACTTTTTGTTTAATCCATCCCATACGTTAATTACTTTTATGGTATCTCTTAAACAATCTTAGCAGCCCACCCTCTTCACTGTTTTTTCTATCAGTAATGTTAGTCAGACCGCTGTTAGTTTTCAGTTTTTAAGTGGATAGATGCTGTTCTTTTTGTTGACATTAGGATGGAAATGCCATGACTCCTACTTTGTTCTGCTATACTGGTAGGGAAAGAGAGTCTTACACAGCAGTTTGATGGTTAGCGTTTTCACCCAAGGGTCACTCTGATATTGAGTAAGAGATGAGCTCTGGAAAGAACCTCTGCTTGTTGCCTCTTAAGTGGAATCTCGTAGATGGTTTTTAAGTGCTATTAAGAGATTGTATATCCATTGAGTATATAGGGTTACTACCAGCTTCAGTTCTGATACACGAGTAAGTTGAATGTCTTGGTTGCGCTTTCATAGTCTCACCAGAATCATGTTCATTCAAACATTTTCTTGTTGGAATTCTTAAAGTAGTTTCTTCTGAAGTTGTGGTTTTCATAGTCTCTCCCAGATAGCATTCTTGTACTTGTCACATTTTGATTCACCTGCTGTTTCTCAAACTGAAAAGTTATTACTCACTTGCTTTTCCTAGTCAGGAGGCAAGAGTCTTTTTATCCTTCTTTTTCCATACAGTAGAATGAGTTTTCTCAGAGAAGCTCTGCACTGAAGTTGTACAGCCTCAGTAAATATCTCATAGATTTGCTTGCTTGTCCAGCATCTTTGCTCTGCTCTTGTAAGGAAATGGCATTTGGTTTTTGAATCTAAGGCCTATTTACAGATGGGCACGATGATCTATAAGGCTGTTTCTGACAGATTATCTGTAGTTTTTAAATGTTCTTGGATTACTTCCCAAGTGAGCAGAAAGAAGAAAGGCCTATAGTTTATTCGGGAAGGTACTGTTTCCTGGGACAGAACTGCTGCTGAGCAGCCTGCCGCCTCGTCAGCCTTAGAGATCTCTTGTGACGCTGTCTAAAGAGAGAGGACTCCTTTTGTACCTTGGTCACACCACTTGGCCCTCTTGATGCAGTTCCCAAGTTAAAATTTCTTTCAGATTCTGTTATATTTGGTGAAGATAGAAAAATGTTTCAGGATACAAATTCCTCAGCATGCTTTTGATGTGAACATCTGTCTTGTTGCCAAAGACTATGGTCTTAAGGGAAAGGAACTGCTTCAGCTTTGTGCCCTTAGGGTCTAATGTTTCCTCATAAGCCGCCCATGTCCCCCAGGACTTTGCTTCTAAACATTCTGTTTCCTTCATGCATGGCCAAGATTTGGGGAACTTTAGAGGATATATTGTATTCACGCTTCTTTATTTTATTAGATTAAGCATTCAAAAACCTGTCACTTTGTGTATTCTGCTTTCTGTCTTGAGAGTCTCTTAAAAACAATATCAAACTCAAGTCTGAGAAGGAAGGTTTTGGAAGCAAGTTTCCAGGTTGTCTAATGGCTCCTTTCTGATGTCTCCTTTTTTTTTTTTTTTTTTTTTTTTTGGGTTTTTCGAGACAGGGTTTATCTGTGGTTTTGGAGCCTGTCCTGGAACTAGCTCTGTAGACCAAGCTGGTCTAGAACTCACAGAGATCCGCCTGCCTCTGCCTCCCAAGTGCTGGGATTAAAGGTGTGCACCACCACCGCCCGGCTTCTGATGTCTCCTTTAAGGCTGAGCCACTTCTGTTCATTTAGTAACAGATGGAATAATTTCAGTTTTAATAGCACTTTTCTTCATTGAATCTTTTAAAGTACTGAGGAAAAATCTACCACAAAGCTTTTAAGAGAGAATAAATAGTTCTGAGGTAGAATATTCAGAACTAGAGGTCTGAAAAAAAATACAATACTCAATTTTCCAAAAAAGTTAACTTTGTAGTGTGCATCTTAAAAAGCTTTCTTTAACATTAACTACAGCCTTTTGTGCTGTATGAGATCTCACTTAGCTGGGAAGAATATCGGGGTCAAAATGTTACCTAAGCAGTGGTGATTACTAAGATCTAAACCCCTGTCTCTCTGAAGCTAGTCCTAAATAATTAATCCCTGAAACTTATGAGTCCCAAAGAAAATTCCACCTGGTGAGTAGGCTCCAGACCTTGTCTTAATCTCCCAGCCCTTCTCTGCTCTTGTATCTCAGATTCTACCCAGGCAGTACATCCTTTAGAATCTTCTTGGGGACCCAATCTTAGAACTCACTCAGTCTCAGAATGATCACTGACAGGTTCAGTTTCAACACACAGGCATACTTATGATCGGCATAGTTGTCTGAAGTGCTGGAAACTGGGATGTGTGCTTTTGTCACAGGGTAAGAATGGCATTTGATCTGGGAAGAGTGACAGATTAATGAATGGTTTTGTAGAGTATTATGTTCAGGTCTGTTAGTTCCAGTTCTCTAAGGAACTGAACTGATAAACTGAACTCATGGTTAATTTGTAGCATTTAGGACAACTAAGGTTTTACTGAAAATTTAACTTCAGGAATGTTACAAATTTAAGGAAGGTTTATTCAAAAGTGAATGTTATAATTAAAACATCTCGAGAGTTTGGTGTTTGTTATCCTGCTAAGTTTCAGTTGTTTAATATATATACTGGTTTTGGTTTTACTATGGGGATTTTTTTAAAAAAAATTGTGTTTGCTAAACTTAGTTTTACTGGATTGGGAATTATATTTTTGGTTTTAAGTGAAAATGAATTTCTTTTGTGTGTTCTTCAGATGTTTTGGCAAGCCAAGAACAACAGATGAACGAGATAGTTACAATTGACCAGCGTGAGTACTCATTCCCATACAATTTCCCCACTTATCAGTAAGAATGCTTCCTTATTAGCCAGCTTCAGGGTAAAGATCAACATAGCTTTCTGACCAACCTTTAGCTTCACAGAGGAATAAAGCACCATAGCTAACCTTTCAGTTATAAATTCACTTTTGAATAAACCTAACTTAAATTATAATATTCCTGAAGTTAAATTTTCAGTAAAACCTTAGTTCCCAAGTGCTACAAATTAATCATGTTTGAAATACTGCTTTCCTTTTTTTTTTTCTTTTTTCTTTTTTTTTTTTTTTTTTTTTTTTTTTTTTTTTTTTTTTTTTTTTTTTTTTTTT